GAATTGCTTTATGCTGCTCTCTTTCTCACCGACGGTGCCTAATTGACCCAACTATTATGTGCAGTTGACAAAATCAAAAATAAACAAAGCGCATGCGCAAAATTAAAAATATAAAATGGCGACAACTTACCCAGCTTAGATACACATACACAATATCAAGGCTGGTGGGTATGAAAATATAAAAGACGAGACTGTTTCATACTTAAAGGCAATCGTCAGACTAAACAAGACCACACCATTTAAGCATGAAAAAGGCGGCCCATCTGTGTGTTCACCTCTGTGTCCACTGTATATATATATATATATATATATATATATATATATATATATATATATATATATATATATATATATATATATATATTATTAGCCGTTTGTGTTACTTGAATTTTAAATCATTCCACCAAAAGAAGAGTCTGAACGTATATATTTGCATATACGCGTGCATATGTAGACATCCAAGCAGGCTTATACATAAATTTTTTTATGAATATTTATACATATAGACATGCACACATATTTGTCCATACATACATTCACATATATGCATATACATATAATACAACTATTTTATGTATACTTGTACACATGTTTACATACATACGCATATTTCTCATATATTCATACAAACATATATATACATGTGTATATATATATATATATATATATATATATATATATATATATATATACCTGTTATACGTATACATGTATATGTAACTTTTTAAACATACACGTTCATACACGCACACGCGTAAAAAATATAAACATATATCAATATGGTGATTTCCTTTCGTCTTTCAACTATAATGTGATTAAGCTTATCAGACAATATGAAAGGAACTTAAAATAAATAGACAAAACTTGTATATATTATTTAATGAAATATGCATTAATGAAAAATTGCTGACTAAATATACACAATATATATATATATATATATATATATATATATATATATATATATATATATTAACCATGATTATCCCTAAAACCGAAAACAATGAGGTTCTTTCTATCTTTAATGCCGAATTTTCTGAAGACATATTGATGACAAGAGGGACAGTGGAAAGTAGAGCATAACGTATCTAATTAGCTTCTCTAAATGGTTGGTTGAACAGAGTTTAGGATAGATAGCAAAATATAAACAATATTTATAAGAGCTATAAACGAAAAAAAAGTGTGAGACATATTGAAGGCAAGAGGGACACATGAAAGCAGAACATACCGTATCTAAGTAGCTTCTCTAAATTGTTGGTTGAACAGCATTTAAGAGTGATAGAAAAATATAAACAATATTTATAAGAGCTACAAAGGAAAATAAATTGTGAGACATATTGAAGGCAAGAGGGACAGATGAAAGCAGGACATAATGTATCTAAGGATCTTATATAAATGGCTGGCAGAACAAGGGAGATTGCAGGAAAGCAACAAAATTTACTAGGAGCTATAAAGGACAGTACATTTTTGAGAGGTGTTTGAACCTAGTGGTTGGTGAACGTATTTACTCCTATTGAGGAAAAACATCAAATAAATAGTAAATAAACATTCAAATTTTAGGCGAAGAAGAAGTATACAGTTGAAGTAGACTTTAGAAGGTACCAGAAACACAATCCTGAACTGGAAATAAAGGAATACTGTTAAAAAAAAAAGACTGACGAGGTGTTTCAACCGGTGGATAGGCAAAACTTTTCTTGAAGAACTTCTGTCTTCTTTAACGTGAGGTCTCCTTTTGTTTTGGCTCTCCATAACTGCATTTCACATTATTACTGATCCCACACTCTGTTCAGTCATCCATTTGCACAAAATGGTTGACTAAGTTACTCGCACTTTCCCATTCGTCTCTTAATCTGACTTGTGAGTTTCACATTCTCCAAATCTTCCTTCGTTTCGTCCTTCATTATGTTAGTGTCTAGTTGTCGAATCTGATTAATACTTTGCCTCTCTTGTGCCAATGCATTTAGCTCATTTATGATTTTGTCTTTTATTCCAACCTGAAAAAAAAAAACAAATATATATCCATTACAGTCCAAAAGTCTGAGAACATCTCTGGAATGATTTTTTTTTTTAAATTGGCCCAAAATGTAGTTGATTTGTACTTTAAATAAGAGAAAACTATTACACCTAGTTTTTAAAAAAGGTTATATATGATTTCTTATTAGAAAATTATTATGACAAAAAAAAAATAAAGCATTTTATAATTAAATGTCACTTTCGCCAATATATTCTTGATTACTGCAGCACAAGGTTCTGGCATTCATCATAAAAGATTCTTAAATTATAAGTTTGATAACTGATTTCATTTTTTTTTAAATCACTTTAAGGGCCCTTTTCCATTTTTTTTTTTAGATGGAAACGTTTCACTCTCCTGTCAAGTTCATCTCATGCTAAAACTTACAAGATAAACATGTTTCAGTAAACATGCCAGCATTTTTTTAAATACTGAAATTAATGTCAACCGGCCTAAACAGAGAAGTCATATACGTGCATACATTAAAATAACTTTTATAGTAATCACAAATTTTATTCTGAATAAATCCCATTAATCCCTTATATATATATATATATATATATATATATATATATATATATAAAATCCATTAATCCCTTATATATATATATATATGAGTTTGACTGACGATCACTAAAGCGTGAAACCCAGGGTCAAGCTCATCTATCCAACCAAAATATATATATATATATATATATATATATATATATATATATATATATATATATATATGTGTGTGTGTGTGTGTGTGTGTGTGTGTATGTATATATAATGAGACAGAGATTAGAGGGAAAAGGAGATGTTGTTTTTTAATCATTATCTGGTTTCTTTTTTTTTATCTTTGTTAACTGTCTAGTGCTCTCCCATATTTTTTCCACTTCTGATTTTTTCCTGTTTTTGCTTACAACACAGGATTGTCATCGCATGGAAACATTTTTAGGAATGGGCTAAAGATACGATTATATTATGAGATCCTTAGACGTTGCTCCTGAGCAAGATTTAGAGACGTCCATTTGAATTCAAATTAATCCAAAAATGCCACATTTATTTTTTAGTTTTAACGGCATGGACGTTACATTTAAGGATTATTTGTGGTTTGTTCCAACGGAAGCCACCTATTTTCTTGGCTGGTGTTATCGGTTAATATTTGATTTAATCTAAAACAACATACGCAACAAATGCAAGATGCACGATGGTTCGAACTTTTATTAAAAGGAATCTTCTCGTTAATGATGTTTAATCCAGAAACTAGATACGTTAAAAAAGTGTCAGTGTTGCCATCGCTTGAAAAGTGGAATCTGATTTGTTTAACTTAGGTAATAATGCAGTTATGAAAGGCATGAATCCATATTTTTCTCTACAAATCAACCACACGGTTCTAAGTTAAATTAATAGAGTAGTCATAAGGAAACAGAATGCATGGTCATCAGTAAAAGAATGAGCCCGAAATGGGATTTTCAGGTCGGGAACACTCAAATCAAGTAGACGCGGAATTTTACAGAGGGGCAGAAAATGCGCCACTGCGATCCATAGACGTATTGGGATCGGGTAGGACGCAATCCAAAAGCTGGGTAGAGTATTGCGAGACAGGAGGATTTCTTTGGTAACAAAGAAAAGAATACTGAGTTGTTACGTGACATCTGTCCTTCTTTACGGCAGCGAATGCTGGACGATTTCCTCAAAGATGAAGAAGAGACTCAAAGCGACGGAGATGTGGTTCTACAGAAGGATGCTGAGGATATCATGGACTGAGAGTGTGAGCAACAATGAGGTTTTGCAAACAAGGAGGCTTATACTTAACATCAGGAAAAGGCAGCTAAAATTTCTGGAACACATAACGAGGAAAGAAGGAAGGCCTGGAGAATGTCATACTCACGGGTCGAGTAGAGGGAAAGAGAGACAAGGGAATGCCACGCATGATATACCTAGCGGGCAAGAGGATGACAGAACGTGGTCTGGAAGAGGTAGCAGAGGAAAGGAACTTCTAGTGGGAGGTGGTGAGCCATGATCGCCTACGTCATGGCACATAAAAAAGAAAGAAGTCCGGACTCTATAATTTCGGTTGCAGCCAATCATATAGAAAGGTTATTATCTATTCAAAACCGAATAGAGTATAATGACAAACAACTCTATAATTTTCCGTAGGAGGTTAGGGCAATCCCATTGATAATTTCCAATGTATCACCTGATTTTTATCCATTATTCGACAATATTATATATTTCTATATACGTTATATTTAGTGAATACAAGTGTGGCAATGAAGGGCCCTGCTTTATTAACAAACAGAATATATCCGTTGGAGTAATGGATATCGGCTTGGATTGAGGAATCGGAGAGCCGAGTTCGAATTCCTGTCGACTCCGCTACATTCACTTACGTGCTAATATCCTTGGGAAACGTATAGTTCCATTTTTTTTTCTTTCCCAGCTATGGGAAAATAGTAGGACAGACTGAGTTCTATAGCCTTGGATGTCAACTGTTCTACCGTAGAAAAGAAATGGCAACCTACTGCGGGGAAAAATCTGCCTCGTCAGTCTTGTATCGAAAGATACATGATCGCCTAAGCGTGTATCAAGCATGGTACATAACTGACTGACTGATATTTGCATCTAACCGCTTGGGGTTTTGAGAATATTTTTAATAAAGAGAATATACACTGTAGCCAGATTATATTATGCTTCCCGACTGACTTACCTACGAATGACTTCAAAGCTAAGCGAGGTTGAATTGGCCTTATCCGAAATGAAGAAACAAAGTAATTTCTAAGGAATTAATGGATTTTTATCTATAGATTGGCATTTTTACTGGAGACCCTAGAATTACGGGATACAGAGGTTTGAGTAGACTGTAGTTTTTAACAGAATATGTCACCTGTAAAAGAATAGGTGTCCTGTTCACAATTAAAAGATTAAAAATATCATTTAAAGACTATTTTTTATAAATTCTGTGACTAATATCTTAAGATAGAATTGCATAGTACCTTTCCAAATGTTATCTATCTATCTATCTATCTATCTATCTATCTATCTATCTATCTATCTATCTAACGATCGACCTACATACCTTTCTATCCATCATCACAGCCAAACATATCTCACATCGCATAACATCATATTTATATATCTATCTACCTACATTTCTATCAATCATCATATATTTATTTTACATCACACAATATCTATCTATCTATCTATCTATCTATCTATCTATCTATCTATCTATCTATCTATCTTCCTTTTACAATCTTTTCCGTTCTTTCTTTCTTTCTCCACATTGATCTATCTATATATCTATAATCACATTTATCTCACATCACACAATATCATATCATATCATATCATATCTATCTATCTATCTCTCTATCTATCTATCTATTTATCTGTCTATTTCAGTCCGTGCAAGGAAGTAAAGCAACTAATAGACAATATGTTAAGAAGAATTAGAAACTGAAGCATTACTAAAGTGCGGGAAGGGAAAAAGTAACTAGAAATGCAGTAGATGGTGATTGACATTGCATTTAAATATTTGAAGTTTAAATTTTGTTGGATAGAATGCTGAGAAGTTCTACAAATCCTAGAAAAGAAACTGTTAGCCTAGAACTTACGTCTATATCTAGACAGCTCAACTATAAATTGATGACATCTTGACTCCAGTCTTGTACTGCGCTGAAATTCAAAAAGTCTAGGTACCGAAGCGAAGACATCATCCGAACAATTATCGTGAAATTATACATAGAAAAGACACGGAGGCAACCTTACGGCGGTCAAAATCTTACTGAGGCCGAGTAGCCAGATCAGGACCAATAATATTACTGATTCCTTCTTTGCATTTTATCAAAGATCTCAAGGTAAATATCAGAAGCACCAGACCAGATGGGGCAGCAATATTCTAAACATGATATGTATGAGAGTCTCGTGCGACATATAGATATGTTTGGTTTAGGAGATTAATATTGTCTGGCACGACACATTGAACATATATATATATATATATATATATATATATATATATATATATATATATATATATATATATATATATGTATGTATGCCTGTATATCTCTCTATCTGGCTAATATCTATTCATCTCACTTTCCTTCATTCTTGCTCGCTCTCTCTCCAATATATATATATATATATATATATGGAGATAGATGAATAGATAAATCGACAGATAGATAAAACTGCTTCTATATTTGCCCGTAATCTACACAAATTTCCTTCTCTAGCGACCACTACATTTTTGTAGCTGTTATATAATCGGAATTATATAACTGGTATTAACACATATCTATCTATCTATCTATCTATCTATCTATCTATCTATCTTGTCTTGTTCTAAATGTCACAAAACTATCATGTCTGTCTGCTATCACATACTGTATACATTCCCGTCAAGATACCAATCAAAACATTACGAAGCAAAAAACAAAAAAACAAAAAAAAAATAAATAAATAAAAATAAAACAACAACGCCTGTGTAATGGAAAACCTTCAAATCTTGTAATCATCTCAAATCTCAAATGCATCCTGCCCCTCTGTCCAAACAACAGATTATCATGATAAGCAGACGATATCTTTCCAGTTTCATGATAAACCACTCCCTTTACATTGTAGTTCATCATTCTACTAGACTTCTGTTTTTATTTAATATAGTTTATTTCATTCATTCAATGAATGTGTTTCTTTAATAATAATCCGTGAAAAAATCGTTTGTCTTTATTCGTAGATTAACGATGGAACAATTAAATTCCAGATAATTATTATTGTTTCGTTATACAAAAACTTTAATTTTCAGCGTGCGAATTTCCTTTGTTGTACGGAGGTCTTCCCCAGGACTTTCCATCTTTGCCAATCATTTACTAGTCGTGGCTATCGAGGTAGACGATGCGTTTGGGTCTTGGTTTTAAATCCGGTGACCCAACAGTAACATCCAGTGTGAGATTGTGTTAACGTAGCATGAGTAGTTACCGCACTGGCACAATACTTGTTGGTAGGCGGCGGATAAGATGGACTCTCCAGCTATTTATCCCATAGTTGGGGACAGAGGAGATGAATCCATAATTAACCTCGGGGTTTTTACGAGTATGTTGATTTAAAGGACTTGACTGGTATTCGAACTCAGCTCTTTGATTTCTCATTAAAGGCGTCATCCTTCACGCCACCAGCGCATCAAAGATTACAGCGGCTGATATTCTAAAGAGATCAGCTATATAGTGACTAACCAAGCTCAATGTTGCTTAACTTCCGTAATCAGAATAGAATCCATCTTGCAATGTGATGTGGTCATATAATAAAAATGTGATGTGGTCAAATAAAAAAAAAATAGCTATTTACTGAGAAACCAATGTACTTATTACACCCTTGTGCAAATGAATTTATTTTCCCATACGGTCAGTTTTAGATCCACTGGAGTGACAGGATATAATCGATTTCTATTTTTCCTATTAGGTCATTTTCAGTGGTATACACTAATATGAGTCACTGTTCGAAGTCTATGATGTAATTTGTTTGGTCTTGAAAAATATTGCGTCATATTACATCAGATTTTCATCACTTCCAGACGCAATTGTCTCGACTGTCTATTAGTTGTCCTACGGCCATTGTCTGCGATGTGCGTTACTCCAAGGAAGCGTACCAAAATTGTAACGCTGCCCGAACACACTAGCAAGTCTAAACAAATCAAAGTACTATAGACTGGCCAGGAAAACTCTCCTGATTTAAATTCAATCGAGGATCGGTGGTCAATCTGCAAAGAACGACTTCGTGGAATGGGCATACGAAATACTAACATGTGCACATGTTTCATTGGAAAAATACGGAAGAAATGTAAATAATAAAGGAATTATTCCTTTTCTTTCAATTAATTTGAACAAGAGTGTATGTATTCTTATTATTTCATAACCCCAGTCAGCGCACTATAAAGGAAGGCTAAATTGTTCTGGGTGTGACCCACAAAAGTGGGCAGATGATCGGCCATAAGGATAATTTTGAATATATGATATATATAGATGAGGTATTATATACACTATTTACATTATTCGGACAATTGTCCTCATCTTTGTCACCATATTTCTTACAGCGTTTCAGCCCTTTAGTATCTGTCTATATTTCTGAGATGAGGCATTATGTACACTATTTACATTATTCGGACTATTGCCTTCATATTTGTCGCCATATTTATTACAACGTTTCGGCCCGTTTAGACATGTCACGTGGAATTAGAACAGTCTACCCCATAGAGCGAAATAATGGGTTCAGTTCGACATTCCAACCACTTGAAGAAAGCCGGAGCGTACAACGGCCGAAACGTTGTAATAAATATGACGACAAAGATGAGAATAATAATCCGAATAATGTAAATAATGTGGATAATTTTGAATCATTATTTTTCTGCTCGTGTTGAGAACATAGCAATCCTTGATGTGACGCTCATTTTATTACGTAATAACAATAGAACAAAGATCGCTCAACTTAGCTCTAATATAATTCTACGAGAGAAATGTAGAAATGATGAAAACATCTTAGCCACATCTAATTCTTAAAATCTAACTAATTGGTGACCTATGAAATGAAGGAATATTCTCCCATTTCTATTTCCCCCATTATGAGTAATAGTATATCAATGATATCATAGCACACTATTTCGAAGACGGCACGGGCGAGCTAAAAGGAAAAGGAATGACATAACATGCTTTATCCTCATACACAAAATTATATATGCATATTTACATTCATGCCAGGTAGAGAAACAAGTATACACAACAGACTTTTTGGTCAAGACAAGAACGTTACATCAAACATTCTCGTATATAATAATTCTTTTTATGGTGGATAATTTTATTACTTAATAACAGAACAGAAAACTAACCTCTCACTTTATATTAGGTTCTAACTTACTTTCTAAAATCTGACCGAATGACCCAATATTTTGAATCTCTTCATGGTAAGAACGCAGACGTTATATTAATCACATCATAGATTGAAGGAAAGAGGGTCAGTAGGAAATAGCGCGTAGCGTATTTGATGAACTTGAGTAAATGGATAGTAGAACAGGGTATGGAAGAAATAACACAAATACAAAACATATTAAGAACTACAAGGGGCAGGAAGATGTAGAGGGCCATGATCGCCTACGTCTTGAAGATACACGACGCATAAAAAAGAAAAGAATAAGTAATATGCAGTGTTGGGAGAAACTACAACTACTACAGCTTAATTTGCGTTAAATTTCCTTATTTTCTATACGACATTTGTTATAAATGATCCATACACCGAGAATATTTGAACGTTTTATTATTTACTAATTCCACGTACTGAATTTATTTTATTGATTCAGGCTAGGTGCCATCACTGCTTTCATTCTAATTCCAGATTATAGTTTCTAATTTGGACGGGTTTATCTTGAGTCCTATTTCTTAGAAAACTTCATAAAGGATGTTTTCCATTTTTATGAGGAATTCAGGCTAGGTGCCATCAATGCTTTCATTCCAATTCCAGATTATAGTTTCTATTATAGAAATTAAAGACTTCTGATATGATACCAAGAACAACAAAACGGAATTGTAAATTTCAAAAAAACAATTTTGTAAAATGTTGTGTACTTCGAAATCGATAGCCTACTTAGAAATACAGTTTATATTTCTCAAAATAAAATGTAATGTTTCAATAAATTGCTTACGCAATCACTATATTGTAGCACTGTAAATGGATGGTAGAATAAGGTTTAAGAGAAATAACAAAAAGAAAAAAACTTATTAAGAGCTACAAGGGCAGAAAGATGAGGAGGGCCACGATCCTGAAGGGATATGGCAAATAAAAGAAGATATAATACCTATGTTTAAAGTTAATAATACTCAAAAGGACATGTTACAGGCAAGCGGGACAGAGGCAAGCAGAAAATAACCCTTGCCTAAGGAGTTTGTAAATGGTTCGCAGAACAGCAATTAAGGGAGATAATAAAAAGACAAACATTGTTAAGAGCTACAAAAGATAGGAAGTTGTGGAGCGCCATGATCACCCACGTCCTGAAGGGATACAACACATCTCTTCATGGTCAGAACGTAGACGTTATATTAATCACATCATAGATTGAGTGAAAGAGGGACAGTGGAAAACAGCACGTAACATATTTGATGAGATTGAGTAAATTGATGGTAGAACAGGATTTGAAAGAAACAAAAAGACAAAACTTATTAAGGGATACAAGGAGCAGGAAGATGTAGAGGGCCATGATCGCCTACAACCTGAAGGGATACGACACATAAGCTCATGTCAGAGTCAGAAGAAAGTCTAATGAATGATAAGATACAAAAATTATTTCCATGAAAAATATTTTACTTTTTGTCTAATTTAGTTTAAGTGTTGCCCTTCTCTACAAAAATATACTCGAATGTTTAAATATAGCCTGAACAAAATAAACTATGAAATCACAAATATCCTTAAATGTCTATAATTGGTAACAGAATTGGTAACATTGGTTTATACTAACGGCTTCCCATACTTAATACTTCTCGAATTCACTCTCGCGTGGTCACGTGTGACGTCATGAGCTGCGGTGCGATTTTTGATTCCAGCGTCTTATATGCACGTGTTTATCGTTGCTTGGAAATCATCCATGTAAACAGAAACACCATCACATTCTTCTCCATGTATTGCTTAATATATTCTACAGTAATTGTCATCTTTGATAATGGCTTATGTGCTCTGGGACTCTCCCCTTTTTTACATAAGATGGACTCGTCCAAAGTATACTTATACTGGCAGAGAGAATACCTACCATTGGGATATGTTGAGATACGTGTAGATACGTTGAGATACGTGGAGATACGTGGAGATACGTTGAGACAGGTTGAGAGATACGGGGACAGACACAGGGTGTTCTCAGAGGGTTATCCAACAATCCCGAGAGAGAGGGAAAGAGAGATTACGGCTTTACTTACAGAGACTTGTACATATACTTTATATTAACCCGCATTCCTGGACTACTAATCTTCACTTCAAGTTTGTATTCTTACGTTTAATACACTTATTTTTCTATCTCCATTTCTGGCGTTGTTTATTTATTTGTGCAGGATTCCATTCACGGAATTCACAACATTATGTAAGACGAAAGCTTAGAATGGATTAAAAAATATGGATCAATATTGTGATTTTCTTTCTTCGTTTAATGATAATGTTATTAAGCTTATCAGGCGTTATGAAAAGAATTTACATAAAATAGCCAAAACTTGTCTATATTGTTTAATGAAACATGTATGAATATATATATATATATATATATATATATATATATATATATATATATATATATATATATATATATTCTAATATCTAATCTGACTCTAAGCTGGTCGCAAAAGGTGAATACATCAAAGCTCTTATCAGACAGACAAGCACACATTACAATTCGATACTACATTAGACACAGCAAAATCTTTACAAACTTACATACATATAGCATTATCTACCGTTTTAATGCACGCGATACACGACTGACCAATGAGAACTGAAGCAAATCAAATTGAAAATGCTAAAGTTATTTCTGAAGAAGCTTTAATAAAAGTGAAACATATTCGATTCAGATCCGTTTCTTATTTGTTCTTTATTTCATCCTTTCTGATTCCGATCCATATTTGAGCTGTGTGTCTGTATAGGTGTACTTTTGTGTTTGAACTTAATTGACTGACATATGAAAATACTGATAAAATGACGGAATGAGCATACTGATCAAATAACTGAATATAATAGATATGTAGCAAGATAGGTAACGTTTATTATTAAACTAGTATTAACCATCAGTGGTATCTTGAATTTAAAATATTATTGTATATCGAAGAGAAATTGACCCATCAAGTGTAATCAAAAGATCAAACTTTGCCCGAGGGAACTTAATTCTTAGCCACACTCACAGAAAAAAAAAACTCCTTTTATGGAATCGTTTATGGAAAAAACCACAAGAAGAATTTTTTAATATCAATGCTATGTGGAAAATTCCAATTATTTCAAGAATTCGTGCTATCAGCAAGAGTGAGAATTCAGAGATCAATGTCAAAATAGATTTGGCCACGTTAGTTATAATCCAAATCCTTCAAATCGATAATGATAAAGACAAAGAAATTGAAAATAATCAAAACAAACCTTGCAGTTCATTAGGTTAATAAAATTTTAGAATCTAGTTCATATCTGGTAGATAAACAGGGCTCGAGTCTTCAACACATAATAGTCACTTATACATAGATTGCACGAAGATCCTATCCTTTACAATATTTACATGCAGATTTTAGTCCTTATATTTGTTGTTCATGTTATTACAAGTTTTCTTTCTTTCTTATTCTTTTTATCAGCATTAATTTTTCTTCATTTAGACACGAGACTTCCTATTTCTTCTTGTCTTCGCTTTTCTTTCTTTCTTTCTTTCTTTCTTTCTTTCTTTCTTTCTTTCTTTCTTATTATTTTTGATTTGGGCACAAGCTCCCTAACGTCTATTTCTTTCTTTCTTTTTATTAGCATTATTATTATTTTTAATTTTGACACAAGACTTCCTATTTCTGCCTCTTTCTTGCTTTCTTTTTTTCTTTCTTTCTTTTCCTTTCTTTCTTTCTTTCTTTCTTTCTTTCTTTCTTTCTTTCTTTCTTTCTTTCTTTCTTATGTTTTTATCAGCATTATTATTATTTTTAATTTTGACACAAGATTTCCAATTTCTGCCTGACGCCTTTTTCTTTATTTTCTTTCTTTCTTTCTTTCTTTCTTTCTTTCTTTCTTTCTTTTCTTTTTATCAGCATTATTATTATTATTTTTAATTTTGACACAAGACTTCCTATTTCTGCCTCTTTCTTGCTTTTTTTCTTTTCCTTTCTTTCTTTCTATCTTTCTTTCTTTCTTTCTTTCTTTCTTATCAGCATTATTATTATTTTTTATTTTGACACAATATTTCCAATTTCTGCCTGACGCCTTTTTCTTTCTTTCTTTCTTTCTTTCTTTCTTTCTTTCTTTTCTTTTTATCAGCATTATTATTATCATTTTTAATTTTGACACAAGACTTCCTATTTCTGCCTCTTTCTTGCTTTTTTTTTCTTTTTTCTTTTCCTTTCTTTCTTTCTATCTTTCTTTCTTTCTTTCTTTCTTTCTTTCTTTCTTTCTTATCGGCATTATTATTATTTTTGATTTTGACACAAGACTTCCTATTTCTGCCTCTTCCTTGCTTTTTTTTTCTTTTTTCTTTTCCTTTCTTTCTTTCTTTCTTTCTTTTCTATCTTTCTTTCTTTCTTTCTTTCTTTCTTTCTTTCTTTCTTTCTTATCAGCATTATTATTATTTTTGATTTTGACACAATATTTCCAATTTCTGCCTGACGCCTTTTTCTTTCTTTCTTTCTTTCTTTCTTTCTTTCTTTCTTTCTTTCTTTCTTTCTTTCTTTTCTTTTCTTTTTATCAGCATTATTATTATTATTTTTAATTTTGACACAAGACTTCCTATTTCTGCCTCTTTCTTGCTTTCTTTTTTCTTTCTTTCTTTTCCTTTCTTTCTTTCTTTCTTTCTTTCTTTCTTTCTTTCTTATCAGCATTATTATTATTTATGATTTTGACACAAGATTTCCAATTTCTGCCTGTCGCCTTTTCTTTCTTTCTTTCTTTCTTTCTTTCTTTCTTTCTTTCTTTCTTTCTTTCTTTCTTATTATTTTTGATTTGGGCACAAGCTCCCTAACGTCTCTTTCTTTCTTTCTTTCTTTCTTAATCTTTTTATAAGCATTATTATTATTTTTAATTTTGACACAAGACTTGCTATTTCTGCCTGACGCCTCTTTCTTGCTTTCTTTTTACTTTCTTTCTTTTCCTTTCTTTCTTTCTTAGTCTTTTTATCAGCATTATTATTATATTTAATTTTGACACAAGACTTCTTATTTCTGCCTCTTTCCTTTTTCTTTCTTTCTTTCTTTCTTTCTTTCTTTCTCATTAAAGCATATTTATTCTTTTTCTTCTTTTACTTTATCCAATTTCCTCCAATTATTTATTTCAGTCTTACCCGTTTCTAGAACTTTACCAATCTTAACATCTAATGACACAAGGCCATAAATAATCGTTCGGAAACATTATCTTTTGTGACACTTTCAAGTGTGTAGAAACGGCCAGCCACCTTTAAAAGCTTGCATTTCAAATCCTAGTTTTTATTAGATGTCGAACTCCGAACTCTGATATGACTATATTCTTCCTGTTTTCTTCCATTTTCGGATCTAAAGTGTTTATCCACTTTTCTTTTACCCTAATAGCTCCTTCATTCGTTTTACTTTATACTTCTCTTTCTCTTCATTTGTGTCATGTTTTCTTTTTCTTTTTTCCCTTTTCTTATTCTTCTTGATTCTTCACTTTCCTCTTCTGTCCTCTTTCGCTTGTTTTGTTGTTTCTTCCGTTTCTTTCTTTCTTTCTTTCTTCTTTTTCTTCTTCTTCTTCCCGTTGCTTCTTCCTCTTCTTCTTACCCTTCCTTCTTCACTTGTTTCTTCTTCCCCTTCTTTATTCTTCTTGATTCTTGTTTCTCGTTCTTTCAACTCTCTTCTTCCTCATTCTTCTTCTAACTCTCCCTTCTTTTCCTTGATTCTTCTTTCCTCTCTTACTTCCTCTCGATTTTTCCGCTTTCTTTTTCTTCTAGATTCTTCGATTTCCTTGTCTTTCTTCTCCCTTTGTTTGTTATTTCTTCCGTTTGCTTCTTCTTCTTCTTCTTCTTCTTCTTCTTCTTCTTCTTCTTCTTCTTCCCGTCACTGCTTCCCCTTCTTCTTGGTCCACCAGTTGCTTATTCTCCCTCTTTATCCTTCTGCTCCTTTTTCCCTCTTCATCTTTTTTTTCCTTCCCTTCTTTCTCCTGTTTCTTTCCCTTGCTTCTTCTTTCTCTTTCTTTGTTCCTCTTGCTTCTCTCCCCCCCTTTCTTCCTCCCCATGTTTCTCGCTTCTTCCATTTTTTACTTCTACTTGATTCTTCCTCTTCTTGCTTTTTCTCACTCTTACTTCTCCTTTCTTCCTTCGTCTTCTTCATTTTTTTCTGCTGGTTTCTTCTTGCTGCTTCTTCTTGCTTCATATTCTTTTCTGTTTGTCTCCCCCCCCACCCACTGCGTTATAACATGCTTCACATTTTCTCTCTTGCTATGATCTCTGTTTATTTTTTTCTTTTGTTCATTATGAGTAAAAAAAATAATGATAAATGTCCGGCCAATTAAACTGTTGAGTCATTGTTTTCGTCTACAGCATTAAGAGTGTTGCGTTCTTTCAGTTGTTCAACTTTCACTCTGGGTGTACTAGTAAATACCGGATTAACACACACACACACACACACACACACACACACACACACACACACACACACACACACACACACAAACAAACACACTCATATATATATATGATGGTGAGTAAATTTCTCTTGTAAAACGTCAAGTAAACTTACTTAAAGCACAAAAGAGTAGAGGAAAAGCAATCACACCCAACGGAAATGAAAGCATTGATAAGAGTATAATTATATTTATGCATATAAACTAGAGAGATATGCATGTATATTGACAGGGACAATATACATGCGCATATATTTGTCAACCTATAACAACAATATATATATATATATATATATATATATATATATATATATATATATATATATGAAGAAAATATCTGGAAAAACAAACAAAAATCCTTAGAATGTGATTATGTTGTTTTAATATGAATGAAATGTCGACGTCTGACGTTTCGGTTTAATAACCTTCTTCAGGACAATATTCATTAAAATGCAATACAATTAACATAATCAGTATAACACAACGAAAATGATGGACATAAAAAACAAGTCTTATCCAAAACAGATAAAAGAAAATTTTAAATGATCAGCTTTTCGTTGGAGCGTGGTCACGTTGTCATCAAATGGGCGACGCTTTCAAAATTTTTAAAATTTTTAAATTTGTATAAAATTTGATTCCGATGGAAAGCAGTTCTGTTCTTGTAGGAATACGCGGAGACTAGTAGATTCTTGTATCTTCGGATAAGCATGCAGTCCTCCATGTAATAAAATGAATTCAGGTTTGTATTTCCAGTGGACAGTATGATATGCAAATATAAATGGATATTTATATGACATTTGAAGAAAATATTTGGAAATCAAAAACAAAAATATAAATATATATATGTTATTTTAATATAATATATATATATATATATATATAATAACCTTATACAACAATATATTTTTTTAAATTGTATTTCTCAATGTCTCCCTATATTATGTTTCTTTTAAAAAACATTCATTTTGAACAGTTTTTACTTTTTTTTACCTTATATGCAGAACATGAAATTTTTTTTCATTTGCGTTTGTAAATGTAGGGTGTTTTGGAATTATATATTTATAAAAAATACATATAATTCCTAGATAAATTTTTGTCTCTTATGCCAGTGGATATACAATAGACTCCCCTTTTTTCAGTGAGGTTAATAAACAGTGAATGGCACAGTTCTATCAGTTGTCGTTGGAGGCAAAAGTCGTCTTAAAGACATTGTTCGTGTGACCTTCATCAACGACGATAGTATTGTCTTCTTTTTGGATGTATTTATAGATTTGTATATATTATATGCATTGAGTATATATATATATATATATATATATATATAAATTCTATTTCTGTTCCTCCATTATTATGGCTAGGATAAAAAGTGTAGTATCTGCGCTTTGTAAGCTGCCAGGTCAGGTGTCTGTCGAACTCGATTTAAAAAGAAGGAAACTCCGCTGAAGGGTAAATTTCGTTGGGGAGAACGGAACAGGCCCGCCTCGGCGGGGTTTGGAAGAAGTTATTATTATTCACAGAGATATAAAATGAAAAAAAAGGCATTTGTGCTAAGCCATGATCCCCTATGTGCAAAAGGATTGGCATTAAAATAACTTTTAATCAGGGAAACCATTTTTATGTTTTACTTTATTGGGGCTTTTTAATAGCCATAGACAAATATTTAAGAAAATGTTCTGTTTATAAAACATATGTATTATTATAATATTTATTGAACCTGAATGTGTAAAGAAACATGAATAGTAAAATATGCGTCTTTTATATCAATATATAAACCTGTATCCTATGTATAGACTTACACAAACATACATAAAAAGGAGGAAATTAAATTTATTCTATAATGCTTTTATTATAATCTCAGAGATTTCAAAACTATTGATTTGGACTATTTCAGAACTATTATTCTAAAAAATGTCTTCAATAAATTCTCGGACTTATGATTTTTAGATATATATATACACACATATATATATACACACACACACACACATATATAATAAATATAATAAGATAAATTATTATAGCTGGCCCTCGAACGATTTACTTGTCTACTAGGGCGACTAGCTAGTCCCTTTGCATTTCTTTTCAAATGAGAGAATTTTATTCAACACCTACAGAGCCCATAAACTTTTACTGCAACTATGCTGAGCATACACTTTACATCTTTAACATTGAAATGTATTTTATATTGTGACATGAATTCCCTCGATTTGAGTTTACTAGAAGAGCGAAACAGGTTGGTTGGTTGTTCATATATATATATATATATATATATATATTTTTGTCCATAAAGAAAGGCAAGAAAAAATTATACCTTTATCTGTAAAAAAACCTTATAAAGTTTCATGTAACTAGTTTTAAGTATGAGAACTAAAATAACTAATGTGAAACATTACAGTAAAGAAATTTGGCAAATATTTTTGAATTTCAAAATCGTTTTAAGAAAATTTTGTAATGATGGAGGACATAAAAAACTTAAATAAATTTTCAATAAAACGTTAAAATATATAGATTTACAAACTTTTCTAATTTACTTTTTTTACAAATTATTTCTATCGTAAATACAAATAAAGTTATAATTTTTTTAAGTTGCAAATGGAACTTATGGAGAGAACGAGAAGAATTTATATATATATATATATATATATATATATATATATATATATATTATTATTATTGTTAAAATTATTAGGGAAAGAGCTGTAATTATAAGTTTAGCTAATGTAATATCTTTCTGTTCATGCAACAAATTTATTATAATTTTCAATTAATAATTATACCTTCAGTTGATGTGTTGATTTAATTTATATTTCAAGGAAAATTCACTGTTTACTTATTTTTCGACAATAAAACACTTGGAAACATAATTGTTAACTAGATGCTTTTTTGTCTTTTATACATTAAATGTTTTCTCAAAATAAGGAATATAAAGAAGGGTAAATGAAATTTAAAAAAATATTTAAATGATTATTCGTTAAAAATGCTTTCGAGTAATGTAAAAGAAACTATGATGGAATAGGAATGAAATGATCATAAAAAAAAAATAATCAGGATTTGGAAAGACAATGAAATAGTTCATCAACATTTATGAATTGATCAGCGATATCAAATTGAACATAGAATAGGTTGATCCTGAGAAGTTTC